GTCTTGACTGCATGGTGTTCCCATGTTGGTGCACGTGCCAGGCACCCGACTTCGTCCAGCGGAGAGGCAGACCCATGAGCACCCCACGGATGGCCTCAGGTCGGGCATGTCCCCCTACAGGCGGATTCTGGACGAAAAATAGCACACAGTCAACAACTCCCGACAATTATCAAAACTGCTTTAAAAAAATCATCCCCTTTCCAAGCAATTTTTGAATATTCCTCCTGTAGAGGGACAGGCCCGCCTTAAGGATTGCCGCTTGCGGACTCTCGGGACATCGACCCCTTCCAAGGCGGCGTTTTTCATCCCAGATCATCTGCTTGATGTCCCATCAACCCGAAAGCGACCCCCCGAGGCCGAAGTTGAAAAAGGAACCCCGGGATTGACAAAACATATCTGCCAGAGATTTGGGAGAAGGGCTTCACGACCGACGATCGAGGAGGACCCAAACCTCCGACCCCGTATCGTTTTTTATCGCAACGTGCACCCCCCCAGAGGCTTTCTGAGGAATAGTTTTTCATCCACAATCGGGCAATGGCTCCCGGAAGCTGAAAGAGGTCCAAAACCTTCCGTCGTGATTCTCTCAATTGGCGTGGGACGCAGGAGGAGGGGGAGGAGGAGGAGGAGGAGGAGGGGGAGGAGGAGGAAGAGGAGGAGGAGGAGGAGGAGGAGGAGGAGGAAGAGGAGGAGGAGGAGGAGGAGGAGGAGGAGGAGCCCGTAGTCATGTTGGCTCAGGCCCCACGCCCCCCCTCGGGGATCTCGTGGGGTCTGGGCATCCGCACCCGTCTGCTCGATAAGTGCCTGCGCGGGGTCGGCCGCGCGCGCGCGCCTCGCACGCGGGCTGGGGCTGCTGCCGAGCTCCGACGCCGCCCTGCTGGGTGGGCGCCGCCGCGCGGGCCGCCGTCGAGGCCGAGGCCTCGCACCGCTCCCCAGCCACTGTCGTGCGCGCGGCGGTCGCGGCCGTTGCCTCCGCAGCCGCTGCGCCGCCTGGCGCGCGGGGCGCCGAGCCTGGGGCTGCCGGTCGCGAGCCTGGTGCGCCGTCTGCCGCTGCGGCGGCCGAGGCGGCGCGTCGGCGGGGGTGCCGGCGTCGACGTGCTGCTCGACGTGCTGCTGCTGCGCCTGCTGCTGGTGCGGCGGTCGCCACGGCGGACGACGGCGGCATGAGGACGAGTGGGCCGACGCGCCCGCCGCTGCCGCGCCTTCGGCGCTGCCCGCGGCTGGTGCGCGGGGGCCCGCAGGTGCCGCCGTGGCGCCCTCCGCTCGTGAGTCGCCTGGAGCAGGGCTCGGCGGCGAGGGGGGGGGGCCATACTGCCCGCGGAGGGTGCGCTGCTGGCGCGGAGGTGGAGAACGCGGGGGACGATCGCCTCCGTCAAGGCCGCGCGGATCTCGGCGTGGGTCAGCACGCCCGGGGCCCGCGCGGACGCTCCCCAGCCCCACTTCGTGGGCTGGCCCGTCGGCCGCCTCCGCGCCTGGCTGGACCAGGCGGCGGAGGCGCCCGGTGCCGGCGCCCGGGCGGGGGGGGGAGGCAGCGGAAGGGTCGGCGATACTGCGCTTTCCCGTGGAGGGAGAGCGCGGCCTGCCCCTTCCCCCCCTCCCCGCGCATGGAGTCCGCCCAGGGGGCGCTCCAGCACATCGCCCTCCGAGGCGAGCGAGCGGCGAGCTGCGGTGCCCGCGGTGGCGGGGAGGAGTCGCCTTCCGATGAGGCTGAGTCGGGGATAAGGAGGAAGAGAAGATCGCAGCTGCCCCGCGAGGGCACGAGCGGGCTGCCATCACATGTACCCTTGGGGGGATGGATGCCGGTGAGGGGGGGGCACCCGACTACGTATCCGAAGGTGCATGAGGTGGGGGGTGAAAACCCGGCGGGCTGGCAGGCAGAATCGCACGAGGCACGGCTTTCGTGAAGGGCACACATGGTGCCTGGTACGTCGTGACGGTTCTTTACCCTCCTTCAAGAAGCAGGAGACCGAGCGTCCCCAAGAAAATCATCGACGGACCCCACACTGCGCGGAAGGCCAGCTGCGAAACGCACAGCTCGGGCGACACCCGCCGCCTGGGAGCCCGAGGCTACCCATCCGCCTGACCTTCTCTCCGTTTGTCGTGGAGGAGGCGACGACAGTGACCCAGACATCCGACTGCTCCGACTTGTTCGATGAGTGGGCCCAGGAGGTTCGGACCACTTCCCTAAGGCCAGTTTTCCGTCCTGGGTCGTCTTCTGACGCTGCCGAAGCCCGGCGAGGGCCCCCAGAGGCCGAAAACGGCCGAAAACCGCCCGCTCCAATTTTTTGTCGGAGCGCCGGATCTCGAGGGATAAAGACGACGGCGCGCCGCAGCCGAGGAGGGGAGCCGGGGACAGCGGGCCAACAGCTGGAGAGAAGGAGCGAGCCAGCGACTGCCAGTGCGGGCCAGCGTCTGGGCCTCGCTCAGACACGGTGGCGGAGGCCGTGGCCCCTGGAAGATGCTGCAGACTGCGCCGCGCGTAACAGAGAGGAGGGGTAGGAGGAGGAAAAGGAAGAGGAGAGCCAGTGTAAAACTAAGACGCGTCAGCGATGTTGCAATAACCCCGCCCATCAAGTTCCCTCTTCACAGGTCCCCTGCCTCCATTGCGGGAAGTGGCCCACGCGAAGACAACCGTCTGAGATCCTCAATCGTGACACAAGCAAATCCTGTGACTTCGATGCCGCGTATCAAGACGACTGCTGCGTCCTCATGGCCCTAAATCGTGCCAGAACACCATTCCTTGGAACTCAACACCGCGAATTGAAAACACTGTTGCGCCCTGACAGCCCTAGATCATGCCAGAGCACCACTCATGGGACTTCAACCATACGAGCGCTTGAAACTTTTGCGACCGTTCAAAAAGAATGTGCGAGGCGCTAGCGCGAGAGCCACATTTTGAATCAGAGACGCCCTCCATCCGTGGAACTGCTGCTGCTGCAAGCTGTTATGCCAATGCGCTCGGCGCTAAGGCAAGGGCTCGATTCGCCCGAGTCTCGATTCGCCCGAGTCTCGATTCGCCCAGGTCTCGATTCGCCCAGTCTCGATTCGCCCGAGTCTCGATTCGCCCTGCTCGATGCGCCCGGCTCGGTTCGCCGAGTCTCGAATCGCCCGGTTCGGATCGCGCAACTCGATTCGCCCGGCTCGATTCGCCCAACTCGATTCGCTCGGAGCTCGACTCGCCCGGCTCGATTCTGGGGCTCGAGGCCCGACCCGCCTGTTAGGGCCCGCCCGCTCGACCCGACCCGACAGTGAAGGTTCGCGCGTGCTAACACGATTCTGCGTCCTACTTCAATGTCCCGCCCACCTGACCAAACCCGCCCGTTATAGGGTCCGCACGCCCGGCCCGACCCGCCCGCCAGGGTTCGCGCGTGCTTACTCGCTTGTGCGTCCTGCTTGAGTGTCCCGCCTCCCCGACCCGGCCCTCAACGCCCGCCCGACCCGCCCCTTAGGGTCCGCCCGCCTGACCCGACTCGCCCGTTGGGGTTCGCGCGTGCTACCTCGATGTCCCGCCCGCCCGACCCGACTCGCCCGTCATGGGGCCCGCCCGCCTGCTCCCCCTCCTCCCCTTCTGGATTCTCCACGTGCCCGGCGAAGCGAGCCCGAGCGAAACGAGACTCCGACGAAACGAGACTCCGGCGAAACGAGACTCCGGCGAAACGAGCCTCGGCGAAACAGGCCCCCGGCGAAACGAGTCCGCAGCGAAACGAGACTCCGGCAAAACGAGACTCCGGCGAAACGAGCCTTGGCGAAACGAGCCCCGTCTTAACGAGAGGCGCAAACCAGACCCCGGCGAACCGAGCCTCGGCGAAACGAGCCCCGGCGAACCAAGCCCCGGCGAACCACGCCCCGGCAAACCGAGCCAGGACGAATCGAGACTCCGGCGAATCGAGTCCGTGCCAAGGTAAGATCCTCATTTGAAGAGGACCCACCCTCCATCAGTGAACCTTCTGCAGGCTTTTGAAACGAATGTGCGCGGCGCCGAGGCGAGAACCATCTGTTGAAAACGGCCCGGCCCCCCACCCGTGCAGATGCTGCAACCAGTTAAAAGGAATGTGCACGGTGATCATAAGAGAACCACAATCTGAAAATTACCCGCCCTCCATCCGTGAAGCTGTTGCAGGCTGTAAAGACGAGTGCGTGCGGCGCTCAAACGAGAACCAAATTTTGAACAGGACCCGCCCTACATCCGTGAAACTGTTGCAAAAACTTCGCGGCCAACGAAACGGTGAGATCAAGCGAAACGCCCCGCCCGCTCTACCGACACGTCTGGGGGTGCGATAGGGAGGAAGTAGTTATGAGGAAAAGGAGTGGAGGAAAGGGGGGCCCTCTTTCCCGCTAGTCCCCTCCCTTCTCCACTAGTGGCTGTCCTGAAGGAGACGGGCCCCCCGCACAGGACCGCCGCCAAGTGCGCGACTTACCTCCCTCGCCGTCATCCTGCGCTTGATTTCGGCCCGTCGCTTCGCCTTTTCTTCGGACCCCTGTCGTCCCTTCTCCCCGTCGTCGCGCTCGTCGGCCCCACCAGCGGCCAGGCCAGGGGGGGGGCTACGGCTGTACCATTTCGGAAGGCAATGGTCGTCAGCGTCAGCGTCAGGAGGAGAAGGAGGAGCAGGAGCCGGAGGAGGAGGAGCAGGAGGAGGAGAGAAGGAGGAGGAGGAGGAGGAGGAGCAGGAGCAGGAGCAGGAGCAGGAGGAGGAGGAGCAGCAGGAGGAGGAGGTGGAGCAGGAGGAGGAGGAAAAGGAGCACGAGGAGGAGGAGCAGGAGCAGTAGGACGAGCAGGAGGAGGAGGAGGAGCAGAAGGAAGAAGAGGAGCAGGAGTAGGAGGAGCAGGAGAAGCGGGAGGGGAAGGAGGAGCAGGAGGAGCAGGAGACGAGCAGGAGAGGAGCAGGAGAGGAGCAGGAGAGGAGCAGGAATAGGAGGAGGAGGGAGGAGCAGCAGGAGGAGGAAGAGGAGGAGGAGCCCGGTGAAACAACCGACTCCCCCCCGCGCCGGGGCCACGCGGCCGCCTCGGGCTTGCCCTCCGCCGCGGCGGTGGCCGTGGTGCGCGCCGCCGCGCTGAGGTCGTGGCTCCCCGCGGGGGGGCGCTTGGCCGCCAGGAGGTCGCTCCTCGCCGCGCGCGCAGGGCCCCGACTTCGGATCCGGCGTAGTTTGACGAGGAGGAGGAGGAGGAGGAGGAGGAGGAGGAGGAGAAGGGATGAGCCAGAGGACGTGCCTTGGTGCATAGTATGCTCCGAGCACGTGCCGCCGAAGGCAGCCCACAGGGTGCGAACAAAAGCGGTGCCGAGACGCCCGCCCCCTCGGGAGAGGCAGGGCGGAGAGCTCCGCAGGAGGTGTGGCGGCGTGCTGCTCTCTGCCGCCAGCCGCGCAGGCGGGGCGGGGGGGGGGGCCCTTCTCCGCGGGCGGAGGCTCAGCGTGAGCCCAGAAGTCAAAACAACAAAAAACGCCCTCCTCCTCCTCCTCCTCCTCCTCCTCCTCCTCCTCCTCCTCCTCCTCATCCTCCGCCTCCTCCTCCGCCTCCTCCTCCTCCTCCTCCGCTCTTGGGGCCGAGACTCCGCCACCTTGCCTGCTCGGAGTGGGCCTGTTGGGATGCTCTTCTGGGGCCCCTCGAGACATGTTTTTGGTGCTTTCTGGGGCCGCCCCCCCCTCCCGAAGTCGCACGCGGGGTGAAGACAAACGGCCCCCTGGGGCTGCTCCCCGGTGCTCTTTTCGGCCTCCGGACGGCCAAGATGGCCTCCAGGACGGCTTCCGAGACAGCCATGACGAAGCCGAAACTGCTCCAGCCGGTCCAGGACGGCTCGAGAGACTGTCAAGACGGCCTCTGGACGGCCGATCTCCTCCAAGAGGACCTCAAGACGGACCAAGAGGCCCCCACGACGGCCCGAGAGAGCTTCTTCAAGGAGAGCCCGAGGAGGCCGAACTCATTGATTTGCCTTAGGTATTGTGAGGTCCTCGCCTGTTCGGTTTTCCGACCGCCAGAGACGGGCCCAAGAGGCCTCCAAGATGTCTCCGAGGTGGCTGCAAGACAGCCCAAGAGGCCCCCAAGAGAGCCCCGAGTCGGGCCAAGAAGACCCGAAGATTGCACAAGGGGCTCCCGAGAGGGCCCCAAGGCGGCCCCTATGACGGCCTTGAAGCGCTCCAATCGAGCAGGACGGCCCAGAGAGGCCTCTTGGACTGCCTTGGGCGGTCTGAAACCCAAACGAACGAGAACATCGACATCATTCAAAAGCCATCGGACAATCAAGCGTTTGGTCTCCTCGGGCTCTCCCGGAAGGCCTATTGGAGACCTGTTGGGTCGTCTTGGGGCGTACTAGTATGCCCTGAGGCCTTCTTGGAAGCCTCATGGCCTCCAGGACGACTTTCAAGGCAGCCAAGATGACACCAATATGGCCCAAGATGGCCCACGACGGCTCCCAAGACAGCCTCAAGACGCCAAAACCATTGATGCTCCATAGGTTTTTGAAGATGTTGAAGTTCTCGCCTGTTCGGGTATCCGACCGCCCAAGACGGCCCAAGAAGCCTCCGAGAAGCCTCCAATCTAGCTCCAAGACAGCCCAAGAGGCACCCAAGATGGACTCACGTCGGCCCAACACAAATCCAAAGATCGTCTAAGGTGCCCCCGACAAGGCACCAAAACGACCGTGAACCGCTCCAGGAAGACACCAAGGGAACCCAGACAAGCCCCCACGGCGGCCTCCGTAGGCGCCAGACGGGCTAAGAAACCCTTGAGGCGGCCCAGGGGGTCCAAGAGGCCCCGAAGAGACCCCATGAGGCCCCCAAGAAGCTTTCAGGAAGCTCGCAGGAGGCCCCAGGAGGCGCCAAGAAGGCCCCAAGAAGCCTCCTCCTCCTCCTTCTCCATAACGCGCGGACGAAGACGAGGCTGGGATCACGACCCACCCCAATGCGGACTACTCGTCGGTATCGCGATGCTCCTACACCCCGTCTCCTTCCTGCTACGCTGCTGCACAGGCACAGGGCGGGAATGAAAGCTATGCAAAGCAATGCGACGCAAAGCGCTGCAAAGTAATGCACAGCAACGTAACGCAATGCAAAACGCTGCAAGTGCAGCAATGAAAAGTCATGCAAAGCAATGCAAAGCAGTGCAAAGCAGTGCAAACCGAAGCAAATCAGAACACATCAATGCAACGCAATCCAAGTCAGTGCAACGCAATGCAAAGCCATACAACGCAATGCTAAACAGCGCAACGAAGTCTAAAACAATGCAATGCAAATCAATGCGATTGCACTGCAATGCGATTGTAAAGTAGTGCGATTACAAATGCATGGAACTACATGCAAAACAATGTAAAGCACTGCGGCGCAATGGAACGCACCGCCCTACGGTGCGATTGCAATACAATGGATTGCAACAGAATCGATGGCACACCAATGCGATTGCAACGCAACCCAATGCGGCGATGCCATTACAGTGCAATGCAGTTGCAATGCAGCGGAGGCGTGCAACGGGGCGGCGGCGACGGGCGAGAACGGGGTCGCCCAGGCCGCACGCAGACGTGTTACTCGGAAACATGGGGCGGCGACGGACGGGCACGGGGCCGCCTGGGCCCCACCTGAGCCAGGTCCCTCAGAAAAGAAATGAGAACCACCAAGTGCAAGCGCTTGTCGGGGAACGTGTTTTGTATACCCAGGTTCATGCGCAGGTGTAGAGTGACATCTGCAATGTCTACAGGTGTATCTGCATGCATACACACACACACCTACATACACGCATACATCTGCATACGCCCCTACATACATGCATACACACATACGCACGTACTAAGTATACATACACGTGCACATGTGAGCACACACGTGCGGAACTACATGCATACATGCATGCATACAAATGTGTGGTACCTGAAGATGTAGACTCACGCCCGGGACCTGGGGCCCTCGATGCTGCCCCTGTCCTCTTCAGGTCGCCGATCTTGATGTCCAAGTGCTTGCATAGCACCTCCACCTCGAACATCAAATTAGTCCTTGGCTTAATCCGCCGGGAGCTGGAAAAAGGAGGGGGGCAAGAACGGGGGGGTGAACAGAGGGGAAGAACGGACTTGAACGAGGGAGAGGATGAGGATGGGTATGAGGGACGGAGCAGATGGAGGGGGGAGGCGGAGGAGGACAAGGAGGGGGAAGTGGGAAATAAGGAGGATAAGGAGGAGGAGGAGGACAAGAAGGAGGAGGAAAATAATGCACACCTGATGTGCATGCTAGCTCCTCCGACTCGAGCTGTTCTGAGGCTCCGAGCGCCTCATGGGCACGGCCGCCCAAGCGCACAACACCCGTGACAGGGCTCCCGCAGCCTGAGACAGCACGGAGGAGGGGGGCGGAGCGTGGCCGGGAGGCGGCGCGACGAATTCTCCTCCGGACGTTGCCGCTGAGCCCGCACGAGCACGTGCGGCCCCAGCAGCGGAAGGCGGATGGCGACCCTGACGGCGTCAGCGAGCCGTGGCAAGCCTTGGGCGGCCAGCTCGAGGCTGCCGCGGGCGGACAGTAGCCGAAAGGCAGCGCCCTGAGCCAACATGGAGGAAGAGGAGGAGGAGGAGCCGGAGGAGGAGGACGAGCCGGAGGATGAGGAGGAGGAGGAGGAGGTTGGAGCGTCTGGGGTGGAGGAGGAGGAGGAGGAGGAGGAGGAGGAGGAGGAGGAGGAGGCGGCGATTCCGCAGACCGAATCCTCCCGCCCACCATCCAAACTCTGCGTCCAACATTTGTCGATGTTCTCTTTCTCTCATCATTCAGCTTTCCATTGCATCGTTTGGCCTTGGATCATCTTTGCGACTGCTGTGTTCGGAAAGTCGGCAGGGGTATCAGCGACCGCGGCAGTCTCTGTGAACCCGGTGCCGCCGCCTCGCCTCTCGCGAGCCGCCCGGCGGCAGCAGAGCGGGCCCGCGCTGCAGCCCGCCGGAGGCGAGCGTACGAGCAGGAGTTCCACAACGCTGCGAACGACGTCGTGTGGGACCCCCTGATCGGCTTCCGGTGGCCTGCGGTCGTGCAGGCTCTCCCATCGGCATCCCCATCCACATTCAGGAGCAGGCGTACTTCGGCACGCTACGGCTTGCGGGGACAACGCATCGGGGAAGCCTCCCATCCAGGGCCAGCTGGCCAGGCGTGCGCTGATTGGGCGGTCACCGAGCAGCCGGCTCGGAGGCAGACAGCTGCGTGCAGGTCATGCCATCGTCCTTTCGAGCCTGGCGACGCTCGGGTTCGGTCACGGCATTCGGACCTTCGGCAAGGCAAACACTTCCACCCCGCCTGCATCCCAGGAGGATTAGGACCATTGGAGGACATCGAGGGGGTTTCGGAGGTCGGGGAAAAGGCGCGGGCACAGATCATCGCCTTCGCCGACGGGGAGGGGATGTCCCGGGAGGCCTACGTGGCAAGCAAACGCAGGCGTCGACACCGCGTGCAACCCGAGGAGCCTGAGCCTGCCGACCCGCCTCCGGTCCCAGAGGCGGATGATCCTGATGGCGCGTTTGAGGACGGCGCTTTGCGACATCTGGATTGGTGGGATCACGTGGCGGCCAGAGATCTGGAGTGGGTCCCTACGATTGCCAACATCCCGGAGCCTCTTCTCCACGCCTGCGCCGAGGCCCGGGCGGCAGTGTTGGTGGCGCTACAGCAGTGTGAGCCACGAAATGTGGAGGCTGCTCGTTTGTGGAAGCTTCTGGATTACATGGACCGCCTACTTTTTGCTCGAACTTCCACGCGCAAGGGGGCGAAACAGAAAAAGGTTGACCACATCATTTCGCATCGTTTGCACTTGTTCTGGAGGGGCTCTTGGCAGCAACTCTGGAGCTTGGCACGGCAATGTGGTCGAGAGGCCAGGTATTCCACGTCCACGGGCACTACAGACGCAGAGGTCCGTAGGATCGAGTCGCTGCTGTCAGTGGTGCCATTCTACTGGCGAAGCTTTTGACGACAAAACGCAATTCAAAAAATTAAACGTTTAATCGCAAAATGCTCGGTATAGCGTTGGACCAATCGCGGCTGACTGAACGCGAGAACGCGAGCGCCCGCGCGATGCTCCTCGCTGCAGACTGAAGCCCCGATGGGCACCACGATCACAGCGTTTGGCGCGAAAGGGCGCGGACCGAATTGCCTGCCAATCGCGACGTTGCGATGAGGAACCGCTGCGCCAATGACAGCGGCAGCGGTGATACATCGAACAAACACCTTGGAGCAAGTGTCATTGCGACAGCGACATCAAAGGCGCCATTACGTTCAATGACACATTGGAGGTCGCGCAACCACGCGCGAACCCCACGCGGCACTACAGCGCGCAACCGCATGATGAACGCAAACTGCACAAGCCAACGCGATGCGCGTGCCTGCGCGCGCTAACCCACAACCAGTGGCTCGCACGTGCGCGCGCGCACGTTCGAGGGCGATGGCATCGCCAGAAGTCGCGGCGCGATGGCAACTGGCTGTGCAAATTTGCAGGTCGCCAGGCGCACTTCTGAAAGTTCTTGGGGTCGCAAAACCATAATGAAAACCGCGCCGCGCATCCAAAGCGACGCGATCACGCGAGTAGGGCCGCCCGCGCACGGCAAGGCGCGAACGCAACCCAAGCTGGAAAAAAACCAGCGAGGTATGGAATCGGATTGCAACGGGCGCTGGTTTTCAGGGCGCGCTAAAAACGCATCGCGCGTCGAAGCGCGACCGCCAACAGTCAGCTATGAGGCTGGGCACCCTCGCTGGGAACGGTCAGAACTCAAGAGCAGCGGCCAGGAATTGATGGGCGCCTCGAACGGCGGCGACAACAACAAAAAAACACATCCTCTCGTCGCCACACGGCGCAAGAAGCGGCGCAGTCGACCGCGCACGTCCGCACCGCGATTAGCGCAAGACGCGACGTACAACGAAGGGATTGAAAGCCCGCTCGCGCGCGCACGCGCGCACGCCGCAAAGGCGGGAGCGCGCCCCCGCGGGCCTGCGCGCGTTCCGAAGGGCCGACAGCGCGCGCCAGCGCAGCCTGCGCACTGGGCGTCGACCCACCGCGGAGACGACGTCGACGCAGAGGGTTCTGTGGAGCCAGAATACTTGAGCCAGAGTGGTCGGATCCAAAATTGCAACAGAGGGGGGGGGCGCCGGGGGCGGCGGGGGGGGGCAGGAGCGGAGGGTCTGGCGGGGCGGGGGCCGGAGGCGCAGCGGGGGGACGCAGAGTAGAGCGCGGCGAGGGGGGGAAGGGGGTCGGAGGGGAAGGAAAGGAAGGCCGCCACCATGCTTTCGCACGCAGAGGCGCGTGAAAACGCTTCGCGCTTCGATTTGGGATTATTTCCAACGTTCTCTAAGGCGTATGACGTACTTGCAGTTCGACAGGATATGCAATCGCACCCCGTCTGGCGCGCGCAATGCGTCTGGTTAGTGTCATCGAGGCCACGGCCGTGCATAAGTGACACAACAGCCGCCCCGTCTCAACAACCATCTGTTTGATCGTTTCAACCCCCGCGCGTTCCAATCCAATGTTGGCCCTACGCTGCCCGACAGGTTCCAAAGCGGGCCCCGAGACGGCCGCGCGCGGCCCCGAGGCGGCCCGCGAGGCGCCCGCGGCGGCGCAGGAAGACATCGCGACGGCCCCTTGGGGATCCCAGAAGGCGCGCCGCGACCAGCTAATCCTTTGATTCCGCACCGACAAGACCCACGAAGGACGCACGAGGCGGCGCAAACGCGCGCAAGGATATCCGAGGGCCCCCACCACAGCACCGAAAGACAAATACTATTGATCTATCCTTGATTATATTCAAGATGTGGGGTCCGCACCTTTCGGGCTCCCTGGCGCCCCAGGGCGGCCTTCGAGGTCCCCAAAGACCACTCCGAGACGGCCAACGACCCCTCAGAAGACCGCCCGATTGTCGGAGAGGGCCCCAAGACGGCCCATAAATCATCATAGATTATCAAACGACGCCCACAGGCGGTCTCGAAAGGAGTCCGCGAACAGGAAAAGCACTCAACCCGCGGCCGCCCAGGCGGCCCAAGAGCTCCGCAAGGGCGGCCCCCGCGCTGGTCCACAGAAGCCGACGCCATGCATGTTTCATCGTTTGTGTCCACGTTTGAAAAATCTGTCGCGTTTGTTTTCCGCATTTTCGGATGGGCCGCGAGATTTCTCCGAACGCCCCAAAAAACTTCCAACGAGGTCCTCAACGGGGCCCATATGACGGCCCCGAACGGCCTCAAAATGACGGAAAACGAATGCAGGGCCACGCGAGGACGCGCCACGATGCCCCCCTTATCAAGCACAAAACCTGGGACAATGCGGGGCCAGTGTGCAAATTAGCATGTGCACCAATGCACCCAATGACATTTTATCAAACCTCAACTGTTCGAAACCATGCGTCTACCACATGTCAGCAACAAAAAAACTGATGTGAAAACGCAACTGTCCAAAACGAGTTTCCTGGACAATTGAATCGCGGTTCTGATGTCTCGAATGTCATGCCGCAGGTTGCCTTCATCATCCGCCACAACACTGCGGAACCTCAACTGTTCCTAACAATTGTTTCCCTGGGCTCCTTACCACCAGGCTAACCCAACAACGCGGATAAGAAACGCCCAGCCACCAAACAAAAAAAAAACAACGTAACCTGGCGAAAAACCCAACCGTATACAACTGGGGGCTCCATGTGGGGCCGCGGACCGTGTGAGGGGTGCGTCCATGTGACGTGGCGCCGCCATGTGGACCATGCTACTGGGGCCTTCGGTGGACCCCCCTGTGGGTCCACGAACCGCGCGCTGGGTTTGTAGCCGCACGATTTGTGAAGACCGCATGCGGGGCGGCGCACGATTTGTGAAGACCGTCTGCGGTGTTCTTGGCCAGAGGATTTGTTAACACCGTCTGCGGGGTTTTTGGCGGCACGATTTGTTAACACCCTGGGCGCGAAACGATGTGCGAACACCTGGGCGCCGCACGATGTGGTAACAACCTGGGCGCCGCGCAGTCCCACCAGCCCTCTGGGCGTAGGTGGTTTGGGGAGTTTCCTCT